TTGATACTAAATAAAATTGTTGTTTTCTTGAAATTGTTGTTTTCTTGCTGGCCCGAGCACCGAGGCAAAATATGTGGATTGTGGCCCGAGTCAAGTGTTAGAGGACTTCGCCGGTTCGACGCGCCGCGCAAACTAGCATTTTTGCTTCGCATCGTTGCTTGACAAGATCGTTATATTAAAGCACCCGTTATATTATTTAGAAGGCATTTTAAATACGTGCCTTTAAAAGCAAAGTGGTTTAGTAAAAATTCAAAACTATCTTATTTTAATTTTATCCATCTTGCTAGTTTTATTGATTATGCTACTTTCACTATGCAAGAAGCTCAAAAATAACTTTGTAAAGTTTAATCGGGTGATATTAACGGGTGATATGTGATACTCGTAAAATATTTGTTTCAAATATTGACCGTCGATGCAATGGGGCGTGATTATGGATTAGATTAATTAACTATTCTGTAAACATGCTTATAAATTTTTGTTTTAAGAGTAAGCTGTAGGATTGTGTGTTGTGAAAGCTAAAGTAAGTTATATTAATGCAATGTGTAAGCTGATTTCGAATAAGGCCTATTATATAGCATAGAAATCATCTCTTGTTGAGTTATGAGCAAATAACTATTTTTTCAGACGTGCGTACGTTGCAGGCTTGTAAAACGATATTCGAGTAATCAACTAGCAAGTTAGGTAACGGCGGGTCTAACAATCAGCTTGCACGTCTTGGTAGATTATTACCTGGTACGCCAATCCCAATGTGCAGCGCTGTTTTCAAGCCTCTCGCATGTACATGAGAAACGCGAGTACTTGTAGCGCGATCATCAATCATGCACTACTGAGCCGCACCGTGCATCAAATAATGTTTCTTGCAAAGTTATTGTAGTACATTTAGTTTGTTACTTGCAGTTATCTTCGTGTGGTTTTAATACAAATGTTTTAATTTTGTCTTTGCCGCTTTTTGGGGTTACACTTCAGATTTTTTATTTGCGCGGGGGTGATGCAACGTCAATTAATGTCAGTATTCCATAAAAACCCCAAACTGACATTGACATTAATTGACATTAATTGACATTAATTGACATTAATTGACATCAATTGACATTAATTGACATCAATTGACATTAATTTGTCTTGAAATATGAGATTATCATTATTTGATAAATATTCAAGATATTCACGTCTATGTAAGTTAGACCGGTTCAAAAAAACAAAATGTCCTTGAATAATTATGAGTATGTTCTTATCTGTTGATCATTAGGTTCAAAGATCACAAAAAAAAATTTCAGCTTCCAACTCTTCCATCTTCGGTCCCCACCGGCCACGCCCATATTTTATTGGTTTCTTATACAGGTAAAATATCTAGAATCGGCTTTTTTAGTATGAAGGAGTACTGTTAGCTGTTTAAGATTCGTTATTCAAATATAAATGTCATGAAGGAATTTCGTTTAATGTGGGTTTTAAGTTCTGATGATGTTGAGAACCACGCCCTTGGATGGCCACGCCCATTTAAGAAAATTAAATTTCGGAAAACCGTATTATTTTAGTTTTATTGTTTAATGATCTGAATTTTTTCACATTTCACATTTCCATATGTGATAGTAGTGAATAAATTGATGATATAATAAACGTTCTTAAGTGCTAAAAATATGGTAGAACTACATAATCTTGGGTCGAAAAATATCGTGTCAATTAATGTCAGTATTCCAAAATTTTGCAAAACTGACATTGACATTAATTGACATTAATTGACATTAATTGACATTAATTGACATTAATTGACATTAATTGACGTTGCATCACCCCCATTTGCGCATATCTCTCTCAACCAGCCGCTCTGACATGGCATGGTTAAGTGTTTTTGGTTAATCATATGAGCGGGATATAAATATTTCATGTTATTTCATCTGATCTTTGTGCCTTTACGTTTTAATAGAATCATCAAAAACCAATACAATAAAACATCTTGATCAATAAATGCCTAGCAGCACCAGACAGCAGCCGTGTACCTTTTTCGACTCTGTGGAGTCCCTGATGGACTTTTGTTTACTTTTGTTAATAATCGGACCAACCTTTCTTTCTCGAAACATGTATCCTATTGTATTTCATTATTGTATTAAAATGTAAAGATATACTCAATACTAGATATTACAACGAAATAGCGGTATACCAAATTGGCCCTTGATATTAACTATAACCGTGTTGATGGTTTTAAATTTTGTATGTTGTAAGTATTGTATTTTAGTTTGTGAAGCGTTTACTCCTCCCCCTCAGCAAGACAGTTAGATTGTAGATTAATGATAATATAATTGTCAAATGACGTTATATATTATATAACAGTTACAAATGTTTAATAGTTGTAGAGCGATTTCAAGAGTAGTGGTCCACAGGGGTCCGAAAAAGCCGTACAGGCACTTGGGTCCTTATCCTTGTCACTAATCTCAATTGGATTCGGTTTACACAAAACATGAACATTTAGACGTACACATTGACACGATATTTATTAGAAAGCAAAAAGTATAAAATAATACGTGCGTGCGCGGCTTGAGCCGCGCCGCATAAGAACGGATGCGTGCAGGGGCTGGAGTACGCTTGTGTGTAGATTAATGAAATGTTGCATTGTAAATATTGAGAATTGACGATATATTATGATCTAATAGTAAATTTTACAAAGCTGGCTTTGGATTTAGGTAAGATTATAATTTATTTTAAAAAAAACCACGGATAGTTTAAATTTATTTCTATTTGTCGTATAATCATAATCAATTTAATCCTGTTTTCAAGAATGCGCGGCTTTGGCGGCCAGTTATCGACTTATACATTAAATTGAATTTTAAATAGAAATGTGAATATATTAAAATTTAAAACTTTCAAAACGGAGGCTTATAAATATTATTATATTATGATTGTAAAATAAAGGATAAAATATTAAATTTGTTTCACTAAAAATTTTTTTCACTAATATTCGTAAGATCTGATTAAGTAAGTGTTACAGCATATACTGTTGTATGTTAATTCAAAATCAAAGATCGGTTTGGTTTCTGGACAGTATTAACGAGTTCAATTTCAATGACTAGACACAGATGTCCACAACCGAGGACTTAATTAGGTCGATATTGTTATTGTACAGGCTTATAACAATATACACATAATATCACAATATAATATAAAATGAAACCTTCAAAAATTAAATATATTCCCCAACTAAAATATTGGCAGAAACATTTCAAATTCACCCTTGGCCTTGCGGCTCCAAGATCAAATCTAGACTCTCTATATCTATTAAGTTATTTTATTACTTCTTTTATTATTTCTCGACCCTCTGTCTCCTTGGAGAGTAGTCACTGTTGTTCTAAGGATTTTGAATTGAAGAAGCTTCCTTATATCCTTCTGTACATGCTTATTATTATTTCCATGTGGTACTCTAAAAATCCCCAAACTCTTCTTAATCTTATTCCTTATAATAATTCTCAAAAGTTTGAAACATGAATAGTCAAGCCACATTTAAATTTCATAATTTTAGACCTGATTCTCAAGTCGCGCCAAGATATTATTTAATCTTTGTCCATATGGAGTTATTACCAAAATTTAGAAACAATTTTGACAGTTAGAAATTTTGGTATCTCAGCTGTTTCCTTAATTCATTCCTCCATATATTTTATCTAATAAAATTATTGTCGTCCAAGTAGTTGGCTGCTGCCCTGAACAAGGTTTTTGGTGCACTCTCCAATGTGATTGTTTATATTAATTAACATTTTATTCAGCAGTAATCATGGACGAAAGCAACCTTCGGCAGCAAGTAATGATCAACCAGTTCATAAATATCTGTGGCGGAACTCGAGAGCAAGCTTTTCAGATTTTATGTGAATCAAAGTGGAATTTTGAGGTTGCACTCAGCTTATTTCTGCGAGAAGCTCAGCTGTGCCAGGCACCAACTGCACAGAACAGTTTTCAGCCATTTAGAGCTCCTCGCAACACTCCAGCAACTCCCCCTAACTTCCCTGAAACTCTGGAGCTCTTCCATAAGCTGCACACAAATGATTCAATGACAACCCCTCAGGTCCCAGAGAATGCTCAGCTGAAGAGCTAGAGACCGGTGACCCCGTTGCTCAGCTATGATCTAAACCACTTCTTGTTGCATCTAGGTGACCTTGCTGCTTCAACTGGCATTTTATCATCCCCGACCTACGTTATATGTTTCTTGGGAGTGTTCCACCATGCTACCTTGTTGACTTGCTGATAGACAATGTACGTGTTGAAAAATTTTAAACTTAACAGTTTTAGCTTTTTGTTACACCAAGCAAAGAACTAAATAAATTTTCTTAGGACTGTTCAAAAGATTTTGGCAGCGTTAATTTGTTGAATAATTATTTAGTTTTTACTTTTAGGAATAGATACGCCCATTATAGGTTACACACATTTTGTCTCTGCACAAAATGTGTCTGGGCAAGTTGATGATTAAAGACATTGCTGCCAATTAATGAATGATTGGTCGTGGGTAGAAATGAAGCTGATTGTTAACCGGGACTGTTTTCTAAGATTACACTTCTTGAGGGTGCTTATATTATTGGAAACTGACCTTTTGTGTTTTAGTAAATATTTTAGGCAGAGTAATTCAAGCTGGTCTTTTATCTTAGGAACCATTGATTGGAAGTCAGCAGTACCTCATTTTGCTGTATGTTGGCTCACCCAAAATTTGAATTCTTTTAATATCTTACCAACGGAAACGAAAAGAAATGTGAAACAGTAGGATCCCCAATCCAATACTAGTCAAGAGAAGCCTCGTCACGAGTGACAAGGTATCATTTGTAACTGTATAAAGTGAAATCTGATAATTTATTTAAATCAATTATTCAGTTTTACTTGTGTCTTTTTTAGAAATCATCGAGAAAATCAAAGTCGAATGAAATTTGAATTGCCCAATTACATAGATCTCTAACGTATGAAAAATAACTGTAAAATAATGAGCTACTTTCCCCTGTATCTAAAAGGTATTAATCTAACTCGCTTAGAAAGCTGGAGAACAGTATGAAGATTTTATCGTCAACATTATGACCACGGATATCACAATAATCTAGAATATTTGACCGATCTGAGCAGCTATGTCGTCAGAGGTGCCACTCATGACTCTGAAATCACTCCAGGTAATGGGTTACAGTAATTTGTGTACAATTAAACCTTATTTGTATGAGATCTCTGAGTGATGGTTCGAGCCATCACGACCTTATCTTTAATATCAGCGATAAGAAATCTATATATTTCAATATTGCTTCCCCTAGAAATAGTCAAATAATAATCATACAATAAATTCTCATGACCTTTAAATTAGATTTTGATAAAAACGACTTGACGAAATGATTTATCATTGGTTAATAATTGGCAAATACATCCAAAATGATTTGATTTAAAGTATACCACGTCACGTGATCTAATACTATCACTACAGAAGGAGTTCAAAGACCTACAAAAGGACAGTGTGGAAGGATGTGCAGTTTGGTTGACTGATGATTCTAACTTATTAGAATGGCAGGTTGGACTGTTCGGACCTCCTGAAACCATCTTCCAGGGCGCTTACTTCAAGGTAAATTTAGATCATATTACTGTTACGTGTTAATGAAAGTTTTGGTTTTGATTTTAAAATTTTCGACTGGTAACCTAGGAACCATAGTGAATGTTGGGTGGGGTAAGGAGTGTTTGATGGCAGGTATGTATGATGTAACCTGGTTATAATATGTTTACAGGCGATTCTGACTTTCCCACTGGACTACCCTTTCTCTCCTCCGTGCATCAAGTTCATATCTGATATCTGGCATCCTAACGTATATCCGGTAAGTAAACATCACTCACTAGAGTCTGTTAATATAACAATGCAAACAATTAGTGCATTGTTTAAGTAATGTAAATCATTACTACAAGGAAGTTATTTTTGTTGGTGAGTCTGAAAGACAGTGCTCAAAGCCCTCTGTTAATAGTCAACTCTAACTTGTATTAGCTTGTTAAGTTTTCCTGGTTCTTTATTACACCTGTTAGAAATGATGGGTGTTTTGCCAAGTTAAATTGTTAAGCTATGACTGCAGTGAAGTTGTAATATGTTATCAATTTTGCGCCAAGAGCAGCCATGTCGTGAATTCCACACATTCTTTTCTTGCCAAATACAGGAATAGGAGGAACCCTCTACCTCAATCTAATGTACGAGGAACAAATATCTGCTTTGTATATCACAATTAACTCAGGTTTAATTATCCCTGGTAAAAATTATCGATGAATGTGCAATTTTGTGAATGAATATCGATTATCAAGCTGAGTAAGAAGGCATGGCAGTGAGCCAATGAGGCGTTTTGTAAACATGGGATCAGTTGGAACTCAGCTGCCGGCCTTCCTCTAAATTCACAGAGTTAGTAGCAATATGTTAAATCAACAAGTCCTCCTGGCTGCTTACAAGGGCTGCTCGACACAATGTATCATTTCATTAGAAGATTCAGACAGTTTTTTCTGGTGTTTATAATGAGGAATTATGTTGAGGAATAGACCCTGATCATAAATGAGGAGCCGGCACTCCATGACAATGAAATCTTTACCTTTTTCAGTGTGTCGCAAGAAGAATTCTTTACTTCTATCGAAAAAACTTACATGAATAATAAGTCTAGACACATTACTTCAACAAATTTTATTTTGTTCCGGATGAAGCCAAAAACTCTCTGTGTATAATACTAGACGTACTGGGAAATGTAATTAGCAGGAATATAATAGAAATACAGAGATGGTGAATGTAGCTCACAACATTCAAAATAATACACATTATCACGTGTTTAGTTGTCACGTGTTAGTTGATGTGTGTCACGTGTTAGTTGTCACGTGTTAGTTGATGTGTGTCACGTGTTAGTTGATGTAGTAAGAGCATGATAATATATAATCAAATATAAAACAAACTTAAAGATGTGCATGTCTATAATAATGTGTAAGAGCTGTACACAGATCATGTAACACACAGTGCGATTCTGTAAGTGCGGTGTTAACCAGTCTATCTACTAGTATTAGCGAGTACTAGCTACTAGCATGCACAGTAAGAGACTAGTTTACTATGTAGTTCTAGTTTACTCGCCTTTATAATAATTAGATTATTTAATATTCTCACGAAAACCTGAGGTCTGAGTGGCACGTGATCTTTGAAACACAGAGTTCAGCAGTTTACGTGTTTACCCACACACTCCCAAAATAGGCTGCAACTGATAAAACATGTTTTACATGTTCCTTGAATCTGGATATTATAATCATTTTATATTTTTGTGTCGTTTAAAAAAAATACAACCTGATTACAGCAGGAGACTGGAATATATACTGTGAATATAGACTGTACTGACTAATATACTATATATATATATATTATATATATATATATATATATATAATATTACATATTTCCTGGAATATATACCTCAGCTAAGCAGTGTTAGTTTCTGAGAAAATCAAACATAAAAGAAACATAATATGTATCTCTCCGATAACATCAAATAGTATTATAACTAATCCTGGTGTTTTTCTTCAGAATGGAACTGTGTGTATATCCATCCTACATCCACCGACTGCTGACGAAGTAAGCGGGGAGTTACCGAGCGAGAGGTGGAATCCTACCCGAACTGTCAGGTAATTACCTACTTAGATAATTACCTTACTAATTAGATAATTGGCTAGTAATTATTGCGTAATGAGGAGACAATTGGGATGTAATTAAGTGGTGGGCATGGTACGAGTGTGTCTAGGCTTCTATTTAAGGGAATATTCTGTGCGGAGACCACACAGCTGCTGACTAAAGATTAAGTAAGCTAGTGAGGTCATATTACTCTAATCGCACTCTCCCAGTGGTGTCTGTGTGATCATGGTCTTATTAACATTTAATGTAGATTATATCTTATCATACTCAACCCAATATCCTTGTCATCGTGCTGCCAGGATATTTGAGCTATGTGCTATGATGATAATATATTATTTATTTTCATTGTTCATTATAATTATCACTATTCATAATGCGTTTTGATAATTTAAGATACATCCACTAATAACCGGCGCACAATGACACCGGGCCGTACTATCGTACTGTTGGTGACAATACAAGTCAACATGTAAGCCACCAAGTGTATCATAACAGTGTTCCTGTACGTGACTATAACAGTACATATCCTAATACATTGTCTGGTTGATTATATGTTGACTGTATGTAATGTTGACAGCTCCTAGGATTGAGTAACTGTGTGAAGTGTGAACTTCCTGCGTTACACTAGGTTGGGGAGGGGGGAGGGGGGAGGGTGGCAATGGCATAAAATGGCATAAATGGAGATTGGAGAATTACCCAAGGGTTTTTCCATTTTCTCCATAGAAAAAGTCTCCATTTTATGCCATTTCAAAACTTAAAAATTTAACGAACGCAATTTTTTACAAAATTTTGACGAAATAATTTAAATATAATATTCATCTAGAATCTGAATATCATTTCGAACACCAAATAGACAATTTTTGCCCTTTTATCGTATATCGACCTTCAACAATTTTCCAGCTCGAACACAAAGGTCCCCGTATACGACAACTAGCGCTGGATGGCGACAACTAGCGCTGTATACATTTTGTAAAAATTGTTAAATAATTTGTTTTTCAAATATCATAATTTTGGTACTAAACGTTTTGCCTTTCCAAGCTGAAAACAATCCTGTAAAAATATTTCCGAGATTTATAAGTTTTCGTATTTTCTATCCCGATTTCAAAGTCCCCAGGCCCACATCACCCTCGATATACGATCTTGGAGTCGAGGCTTCCCCTTTGTAATGCGATCTCAAAGGGCAGGCCTCCCCTATGCAATACGAGCTCGGAAGCGAGAAGTCTGCCTTTAGAGGTACGTATCAATCGAATAACTCGGGCCGAAAATTTTCTAAGTCAAAATTTTAAAGTTTTTTAAGTCAACATTTTAAAGTTTTCTTTAGAAGTAAACAATTTAAAAAGTTTTCCTGAAACCATTTTTCTCCAGTATTCATGTTACCCCCGATCATTATGAGCCGAAAACATTTTTCGGTACCTAGCCCTCGATAATTTTCCTGAAAATTAATGAAATTCCTAAATTGTATCACTATCAGAGTAAATTACTACTAAATTCACTATAGAGTGAAATTGAGTGGAATTTGAATTACAAAATAGTCGAATTGATCTTGGCCTCAAGTAGCCAGGTATGTGTCTGTAGTAGCCTGGGATGAGCTTCTAGTAGCTTGGTATGAGCTTTGAGTAGCCTGGTATGCGAAAATAAACATGTTAGTGTCCAAGTAAGCTTCCAGATATGTAATTCGATGATCCAAATTCGTGGCATAAAATGGAGAATTACCCAAGGGTTTTTCTATTTTCTCCATTTTAATGCCATTGTCCCCCCCCCCCCCACTAGGTTATTGTCACTTGTACTGTCATCATAAGAGGTGTGAGAGAGAAAATATATAAAACTCTTGTGACGTTCCTTGTACCAACTACCTAATATACCTCAATATGTTCATTATATGCAAGCCTCTTGATTTATACCCATAATTTAGTTCCTTTAGTTCCTGTACCAAGGTTACAGGTAAACCATTATATAATGACAAATCAGCTGAGTCAGCTCTTACAACATGTCCACTAGTGGCTACACATATTACATGCACTTAATTCTGACTACCACTGACGTATTGTACCATTTATATGGCGAAATGGCTGGATTCTGATAAATGAACGTATCGTTCTAGAGTTCTAGAGTCATCACTCATCAGTGTTTATGTATGACTCAGTGGAGGAATAGGTGTGTTGTGATTGCTTGCTATATATTCCAAAAATTGCACGTTTTCACCAGGGAGAAAATGGCGAAAGCTTCCTCCCTTCTTTTTAACGCTGTATATTATTCATGGTGATGTAGTATATATATAGGGGTAAAGTATAAATTTTACGAAAATTGTGATGACTCCCCACCCCAAACAGCATTATAAAACGGTGTGAGCAAGTTCTAGCAACTTGTTTTTCAAACACAGAACTTATAAGTAAAACAGGAACTGGCAGTTCTACTCCTGACATGTTCCTGTGGGAAACTTCTTAATATTTCAATTTGGTTTGGACACACAGTAAGACGGCACAAATATAGGTGAATTCTTCGTAGATTTCTTATTTGACACATTTTAGTTCTAAGTATGGCCGAGATTTACAAAATCGCTAATATATCACCTCCGCTGAAAAGCTGGTCCTCGAGTAAAGACCTTTTAATTTAATCTGTTGCAAATCCAGCTTTTAATGACTAGCTTTTAGCAACCAGCTTTTCTAGAAGGTACAGGATTCAGTTATTTATATCTAAAACAGTGCACAGCGTACCCAGATTGGGCGGTATAAAGATTATATATACTTGCAGACTTGCTAATGGACCAGAATAAGGGCCAATGTGTCTTTATACCTCCCCCAAGTTAGAACCTGTTTTTTGCGGAATACTTGTGCGAACTCAACAGAATGATAAGGACCAGGTAATCAAGATGACAAGCTGGTTATGTGCATAAAATCTGTACAATCAATACAATCTGGCCACAGTGGTCTGTGTACATGCTTGAGAGTGTAGGACAATCAGTGCCTGCGTGCTCGTACGTGGTTCAGAGCCTACTTAACCTGACCAGCCTCCTGTGGATATATCATGTATGTGGATATTCGTGATCACCATTGACTAATGAGTCTATCAGAATACCAGATGTTGAAATATGATATTATGGCGACCTCGGACGTCGTATTTAGCGTATTTCAAATTTCAATCTTAAACAAAGCTTAATCAGAGCTCAAAACAGTATTTTTTGTCCGATTTAAAAAGGGTTGTGTTGTTATCATACACATAAAGAAGATAAATATTAGAGTCCCTGCTCTCTCTCTCTCTATCTCTCTCTCCCTCTCTCTCTCTCTCTCTCTACATGTCTCTAGCTCCATATTCTGATCAGTTGATTATAATCTACTTGATTAGAAGACTAAAAGAGCCGAAAATGTCCCACAATTTCATCTCCTGAATACCTTTGGGAGCACGCTCAGATAGATATATTTACAGTTACCTTATATCATACACGGTCTGTTAGATCTACTGCTATATCTCTCAACCTCGCTATTCCTGGCTCTCTCTCTCTCTGACCTGACTGTATTATGTTATAAAACTACTAGTGATATGCTACAAGTAATAAGTTGAGACGTGAAGGATGTGGAAACTAAAGCGCACACAGTGATGTACATTGTAACACCTGATATATATGTTATATCAGCACACAAAGCTGAGTTGCTGGCAGCTGACCCCGGCACTCAGTTATATAACACCCTTATCGTGTGGCTGGTGTTAAAGTCAAGCCTATACAATCTACTGTGAGTTGGCCCTGGGCCAGTCACAGGTGCATTGTCCAGAGTATTTATAATGATGTGGCTGGGCTCCGTTGAATAATGTGGTGGATTGTGTCTTGTGACTGGAACATTTATATCTACCACAAATAATAGCATTACATGATGGTTGATTAACATATCAAATGAACTTCAAATCATCTTTATTTCTTGAGAATTGGACTCGTGCAATCTCACTTCTGGGCCCATTCCAAGTATTTTTATTGGACACTTTCCAGTTCTCCAGTTCATAAACTAATCCCATTTGTCTAGTTTCTGGGCTGGAGGCCAACATTTGTGATACGTTTTGTTCTGTTTTCATCACACGACTCATCAAACGTGTATTGGTCCTCTCTCTGTTTCTGAATAATATAGCACACAAACACACCGAAAGAGAGCAACCATGAACTTTGAGTGAACTTTGAGTATATTGAACAATACGGACCATTTAACTGCTGTGTAACTACTAACTACTCATTACCGACCTTTCTCTTGGAGAGTATAACTATAAGCTATTTTAGTTCTCTTGGCACAGATTTGATGGGTAGTTAAAAGTTTTGGCTGAGTTCCAGAAGGACAAGTTTTAAGGCCACAGGGGGGGGGGGGGGGGGCCGAGGCTTCAAAAAATGCAAAAAAACATTATGCTTTGAATCAATATATATTTTTGTGGTGGATACTTTGCCACCACTCATTTGTCTGTAGCTATTTTACTTTTTTTAATAAATGAGGTTAACCAATTCTCATTTAACCTCATTTTTTTGATAAATCGATAATGGAGGGCAGAAATATTGATGCCATTACAACTGAAAACTACGATAAGCTTTGTTTTTATTGTTTTTGTGTTATTTCAGCATTTAAACTTTGAAAAATATACAAATAAAGGCAAAATACTCAAAAATCACATAACATAAAAAACAGTTTTTTGCCTCTCCTGAAAACCTCGAATTTTTGACTTCAAAATCTATCTTCTCCTAGAGTTTTTATCCATTTCACCTCAAATTTGGAACTTATGTTCCTGACATAAATTTAAAAGTTTGTTATGTAACGATTGTTGTAATTTTGCTCCTAACTCTTTTTATGAGGTTAACCATTTTACATTTTGTTACCCGCACTCATGGTTAACCTCATATCTCAGCTTTGGAGCAAGATATCATAAATCGTTACATAACAAAAACTCAAAATACCTTGAAGAACACTGTTGCCAAGTTACAAGGTTCTAAGTCATAAACTGAAAAAGAAGATAGATTTTGAAC